CACCGCCCTCCTCCCCCAAACACCAACCTCCTCCCCACACCCCTCCCTCCTCCCTCACACACCACCCTCCTACCCCACACACCTCCCTCCCCCACACACCTCCCTCCCCCACACACTGCCCTCCTCCCCCACACACTACCCTCCTCCCCCACACACCGCCCTCCTCCCCACACGCCGCCCTCCTCCCCCACACATCATCCTCCTCCCCCACACACCATCCTCCTCCCCCACACACCACCCTCCTCCCACACACACTTATAGCTACAGTTTTACAACTAACCATTTCCTGAGTACAAAATGAAACACCCGTCATTCGATCTTGACAAATATTGTTAGAAATAAGTTTTAAAATTTAACTTAACGCTTGTTTGTTTGTTGTTGTTTTTTTTGTTGTTGTTGGTTTTTTTCGGGGGGGGGGGACAAGCGAGTTTGTTGTTTGATGTAATTTGTCGTCCTGACAAAGTGTAGGATTTACTCGCCAATATTTTTTTTTTTAAAATTTACCATAAAATATTTTCTTACGTTTAGTTCCTATTCTTCTGAATTTCTTTTAGAAGTAGCGCAGTGTGTTGACCTATTTTAAATTTATGGATGTGACTGTAGTTTAAAAAACTTAACACCTAATCAACACAGACATTAAGGGTTACGGGCGGAGATATCTTAAAATACTGGTGTCAAAGTAGAAACATGAGATTTTCTTTTTTAACTAAATGAAAATAAATTGACTTTTGTGCCTGCTAATCAACACTTTTTCATAACTCGTTACACCGCGTGGTTAGCGTCTCTACTCACCTGGACATGGCTGGTCGTTGCACTCCTCCGTGACGTTGGCGGCTCCTACGCAGTCCCCGCCTCCGTACAGCGGCGCCACGCACGACCTGTTCCTCCAGTGACTTCCTCCCCCACAGGTTGCCGTGCACGCCTCCCACGCACCCCACTCACTGTAGTAGCCGTCCACTGGGAAAAATAGTGTTTCCTCTTATGCATGTGTATTACTGATAGCACACAGCAGTAACCAGTGTGTAATCTATGACACCCCCAATCGATGCCAAGAATTAATTCATCAGTTACACAGTTTAGTATTTTAAATTTTATTTTAGTTAAAATGCATATTCAATTATCTTTAGTTTCAAATTCTGTGTAAAAATATTCCATTTTTTTTTTTTTTATAAAGTAGAAAGCATTTTCTGTTCATGTGTAAAATAGAGCTGACTCTGACATTGCGTGCAAAACAATAACAAAAATCAAAAATTCATTTAAATGTGACAAGTTGATTACATGGTTTATATAATATATGTTTGGTTACATGATTAAGTGTCGGGTTCACATGAGAGTACATGATGTGTAGCCATGCACGTGATGTGATTGGTTAAATATGTTCATCATGTGTATATCTATAGATATACAGATCTACTCTCTGGAGATGAATATTATCTATAATGCAGAGGTGATAGAACATAAAATTCCTCTTTATATGTTTATCAGTAAACACATTTAACATAAATCATTCAATGTTTAAAAAAAAAGACTCGTTTATACATAATTATTTCGTAGATGTTTTGCCCACCATTAATACAATTTTTAATAATCTTGTTCTAATTAATTAAAAACCTGGAATGGATACCTATTAAATGGTGTAGATTTGACAGTAATAAACAAAAATTGAAAGATTTAATACTTTAAAATATTTTAAAAACCTATATTTTCATTAAAAATGTACGAGCCCCCATAAAGTTTTAGCAGGAATACTTTTAAATAAACCACGTAAAGGAATCGTGTCCATGCAAAAAGTGCTGGACTTTCTATGCAAGTTTCAAGGTGGTTGGTCAGTAACACTACTACAGTACCTGGACAGTGCTTATCATTACAAGCCTGTGTCTCATTTCTGGGTCCCACGCAGTCAGCCCCTCCATACAATGGCTGGACACACGACCTCTGGCGGTATTGCTGACCACCGCCACAGGTCACGGAGCACGAGCCCCAGTCTGACCAGTTCTTGTAGTAGCCATCAACTACAGAAAGGGGTTAACATATCAATATACGGCGTGTAATATTTTATAAACAAATTATTTTAAGGTGTTAAACTAGCACTGACATAGCGTCTTTAATTTATAATGTTCATCTTTACATTAAATTGGGAAAGAACAATGGATGGGACTCGTTAGCCTTGGACGGCAACCCATCTAAGAGAAGGCAAACTGTGAATTTAAAAAAGGAGCCAGAATGATCAACAAATTGACCGTGGGCACCTCAAATATAAGAAGAAGAAAATTCCTTAAAATTGTAAAAGGTTGCACCGAAAAACAGAATTGGGCGTATATGAACTGAAAAATTGTAATTAATTTTCTTTTCAAATTACTATTCTGTTACATATCAAGTTTTAAAAGCGTTCACAAATAAGCGGCTACATTTTCTAGATCTTTAATGAGCTCTCCTTGAATTTCACATAGCTTTTTAATCATATTTTTTTTTAATGATCAATATACGTTTTAGATATATATTTTGAATATCAATTTTTGTCTGGCTTTATCATGATAGTAACCTGGGCAGCTCTGGACGTTGCAACTCTGTGTGGCGTTGAAGTCCCCGACACAGTTTTGGCCACCATAGAAAGGTCCGACACACGACCTGTTCCTCCACTGTGTCCCCGAGCCGCACGACAGGGAACAGCTGGACCACGGCGACCATGGACCACGGCGACCACGAGGTGAACACTCCGTCAACTGTTTGGGGGGGGGGATTGGTAGGCGGAGACGGGTAAATACACGTATCGTGAGAGCATATTAACATGTCGCCATGATTGATGACGATGGGCATTTTATGAGCAAGAAGTCTGGAAAATTCTTGGAAAAGCATGGAATTGTTTTTGAGTCATGTAATTTCAGTCAATATTTTCTGTATCTCTTCAAACCGATAGATATCAAGACGTAATGCATTTAAAACCCATTATATCTAATCATATCTATTTTAATAATCACACTTTAAAATATTCAAAGACTGTTTTAGATTTTGCTACTTTCATTGCTCATAATTTGTTCTTTGTTTTTATATTTTTATTTTTATTTTTTAAAATTTTAATACAGAATATTTTTATCAAAGACATTTTAATATAATGTGAAATATTATTTTATTTTAAATGTTACATTTAAGAAAATAAATGAGAGACATATATCTTATGTCTTATGTTTAATACACATATATTTAGTAGTATATTAAAGAAGTTGTAAAGATTAAATTACTTGAAAGGTATTTATTAAGAGTTACTTTCCGTGGAATTTATCAATGCGTGGGGTTGTGTACGCAGGGATTCTCAAACGTATATCAACTGTATGCAAACAACACATGCTGACAAGCTTTCCAGATGGTTAATCTCGCTCTCTCTCTCTCTCTCTCTCTCTCTATTTCTCCTTCTCTGACTATCTCACGCTCTCCCCTATCTTTTTCTCTCTCTTAACGTCTCTTTTCTTCTCTCTCTCCATCACTTTGTGTAAATTTATATCATTTTTTCTGCTCTCACTCTCTCCCCCTCTCTCTCTCTCTCCCTCTCTCTCTCTCTCTATCTCTCTCTTTCTTTTAATTTAATATTTTCGCTCTCTTTCTTTCTTTCACATTTTGAATTTCTTTATATTTTTCTCTCCTTCCTCTCCTCTCTTGACTCTCAATAATTCTCTCTTTCCGATTCTCTTGTTATCGCTCTCCCTCTCTCTCTCTCTCTCTCTCTCTCTTTCTCTCTCATATATATGTATATACAGCTGAATGGACACACATTTGCACATTGGAACACAACACCCTTCATGAGAGAAGAACAAGGGACATTTGGAGGAATAAAGCTAACGCTATACCAGATCAAATCAGCTGTTGCAACAACACAAAGACAACTAGAGAGCTATGAATTTTTTTTTAAAAGATGCACAAAGTTATATATGTGTTACATTATGTGGTTGTAAACTGCTAACATATTTAAACATTCCGTAAATTTCAATGACTGTAAACAATTTCATGGATTAATTACTTTTTTAAAGAAATTATAACAGTTAATGTTCAGTTGGTGGCCACACACACACTCACAAAGTGGGTGTGGGGGGGGGGGCTGGTGTAAATTATTATGCTGAACATGTTCATTTGCACAAGTGCATTATAAGTAGGTGGGAAATTAAAATGCTTTCCATCTTTCAAAAGGACATAGAGTCAATAATGCCATGAGCATGGTTTAATCCAGCAAAATTTTATCTATATTTTTTTTTGTTCACGATGGTATTTCTGTTAATTCAAGTGTACAGCCTCGTTTTGAGTTAATCATGTTAGCAGTTTACAGTTGGATACATTTTCTCATCTACTAAGATGATATATTTTGGCATGCAGAACATACTGTGCATGTGAAGCTAACAGCTTTGTTTACTCTCTTGAGTCAAACTGTATACGCTACTCTGATGGGCAAAGAATCTTGTCACTTTGCTCACAAGAGTAATGTGGTTGGAGTGTGTTGGTCTTGTCTTTTTTTTATCATTTACCATTAAAGAATTTCTTTTTTACCGATGTGAGATTTACAATTCTCTTTGTGTTTAACTCACACAAGTAAAAAAATGTTGTAGGTTTGGGGTTTTTTTCCAAACTTTTTTTAAACGCTTTTCCAATGACTCACGTGACAGTTGATTGGCGGTTACTCACGTGACCGTATTCTTTAAATAGACTTTCTCTTCTTTGCTTGGATCAATAGCGCCACTCTTTCGGGCTAGTTCAATGCATATGATCTTATTAAGTATTCCTATTCTATACATTAAAAAAAAAATTATAAATACATTTGATTCCTCTGGTGTGTATCTCTTTCTATTCATCCGGTTAAATCCATTCTTGTTTCGCTTAGGTCGGGGAGAAAACTAAGACCATGTGTAATAACTTTGGTTACTTTACTGCTGTTCAAAGACTCCAATCCCTATACTATACTTGATTTTTTTTTTTCAATTTGTATTAATGAAAACGAATAAGTATGTTTCTTGTTTTCCGTAATCCTTCTCCTTTTCATCTTCTTTTGCTCGACCTTTTCAACAAAAAAACAAACAAAATCAATTGCGGGAGTAAAACTATTGATGAGACTGGCTTTGAAGACCGCCCGCCTCAAGAATTATGGATGAGTTAATTAATGTCACTCGACAGCACGCAGCAGACGCTGACCAGAAGTCACGACAAAGAAGGCGTCGAGCTGATCGATTGTTAATCCCCTCTACCACATCAATATCAAAGTCCGCAATTTCTTCATATGGAGGTTACACTTCTTGAACACATCTGCTATGTACGAGCATAGAAATGTGCCACTGAATGAACAAGTCTGCTAAGTACGAGTATAGAGTTTAGAAATTGAATTATGTATGTTATAATTAGACATCTTGTTAAAATTTGAATTCTTGCATGTGTCAAAACCACATTTCTTAATTTTAAAACTTTGTTTTCCCCTTCTCTTTTTTTCTTTTTCAAAAAAAACAGTTAAATGACTTAAGTTTGAAATAATATTTGCAACCCGTTGGATAAATTGTACCTGCAATAATTTTGTATTTAAGCCGAAAGCCCAGATTGAGACACAAACTATGATTACTTTTGTCCACATTCCCCATACACTATGTTTGTGTCTTGTGCCAATTTTTTCCCAGTCAATTTCTAACTAAATCAATGACATTGTCTTCTCAAGCAAATCATTGCCATTATCCCCTTGGCTTTAAAGTGATGTCAATTTCTAACTAAATCAATGACATTGTCTTCTCAAGAAAATCATTGCCATTAACCACCTAGGTTTTAAAGTGATGTGACTGACCGGGACACTCCTGAGATTTACAGGGGCGTCTCTCTTCCCCGTCGCCCTCACAGCTTTTGCCGCCATGATGAGGAGGAATACAATATCTGCTCCTGGTCTGTACACCATTCCCACACGTCGAGGCACAGGTCATCCACTCTGACCATGGGTCCCACACACCGTCAACTGGAAAAAAGAAATCGATCACGCCAAACTCAGATTAGCATCTGTTAATTTATATTTAGTATTTTTTTTTGTTGTTGTTGTTGATGATCATTTAATGCAAATACCTTTTAAAATTTTAATTTTTTGTTTAAACGGCTAAAAACACTCAACCGCTGCATCTCCATATCTTGTGTGTACAATCAACTGAAGAAAGTGTGCAGCTTCTTTGGAAATGATGGTTCCAGTGTCTTCATCCTGAAATTCAACGCTTATATTGTGTTCTTATTTCATACATTTCCCATCTGAAAGAAACTCTACGTACATCAACACGAACCAGATCTGCTAGGACAATCCTTCTGTGTTGTTTATTGAAAGTGTGTCTGACATACCAGCATAATTTCTGGGATTGTTATTGAATGGTGTTTTTTTTTTCTAACTTACCAGCACATTCCTGTGAGTTACGTGGTACTGTCTCATTCAACGAGCCAAGGCAGTTCTGTCTGACTTACCAGCACATTCCTGTGAGTTACTTGGTACAGTCTCATTCAACGAGCCCAGGCAGTTCTGTCTGACTTACCAGCACAATCCTGTGAGTTACATGGTACTGTCTCATTCAACGAGCCCAGGCAGTTCTGTCCACCATAAAAAGGACCAATACACTTGCGACTCCTCCATGAAATTCCCATGCAAGTCGCGGAGCATGGAGTCCAGTTACTCCAATCAGTGAACACACCATCAACTATGGAGACAGTAAAAAACCAGGTAGAATTGTTTGCGGTATAGATGAAACACAATGCATGGAGTAAATATATAGAAGTCACCACAATCTATAATTTAAAATGGATTTCAACAAAATCCGATTTTTTAAAACTATCATTTGTAGACTTTACAGAAAGATATTGAAAGTGACTAACCTAACATATTTTAAAATATTGTGTTAACGATCATTAGAGATGGCATATCCCAGCCCTCAATAACTATAGATGTGTTGATTGGTTTATGGATCATTCATCATCTTTGCAAATAATCGATCAAGTACATAATGGTGTACGAAGAGCTCTATGCTGCTAAAGTGGACACATTGAAATAAACTGGAGGGAAAACTGAGCCGCAGACGTAGCGTGCTAAGTGTCGTGAGATAAAATGCGAGCATCTGCATAAATTAGGATACATTAGCATAGTAAATAAGAGCAGGCTAAAAACTAATTTAAGGTGAAATCTCAAATTTACAAAAAAAATTAAAAACGAAAAAGAGCCATTCAGATTCGAGCGGAACATGTGCAAGTCGCCTCATTTACTTGAAAGGAATCATACAAATAGAATGAGATGAAAATTTTAGCATTTTAGGTAACGTCAAAAAGTTGGGGTAAGATATAGATAAGAAAGCGCTTGAAGTTTTTAATTTTTCCAATTAGAGGAAACTTGATGTTCATGAAGAGATTGTGTTTTAAGTCAGTTAGTAAATTCTCGGTAATGTTATGTTTTCTTGGATAAAAATTAGAATTTATTTGATGAAACCTACAAGTGCAGAAATTAGGTTTAATTATTTGATGAAACCTACGAGTGCAGACAATCGCGTGTTTGATGAAACCTGCTAGCTAGTGCAGTCATTAGATTGTTTGATGAGACCTGCTAGTGCAGTCATTAGATTGTTTGATGAAACCTACTAGTGCAGTCATTAGATTGTTCGATGAAACCTACTAGTGCAGTCATTAGATTGTTCGATGAAACCTACCAGAGTAGACATTAGATTGTTTGATAAAACCTACCAGAGTAGACATTAGATTGTTTGATAAAACCTACCAGGGCCGACATTAGATTATTTGATGAAACCTGCAAGTGCAGTCATTAGATTGTTCGATGACTTTTACCAGGCAGACATTAGATTGTTCGATGACACCTACCAGGGCAGACATTAGATTGTTTAATTAAACCTACCAGGGCAGACATTAGATTATTTGATGACACCTGCTTGTGCAGTCATTAGATTGTTCGATGTCACCTACCAGGTCAGACATTAGATTGTTCGATGACACCTACCAGGGCAGACATTAGGGTTGCACGTGACTCTTTCGTTCAACGGCTGCTCGCAGTCCCGCCCACCGTAAAATGGGCCAATGCAGTCACGCCGTCTCTCTTTAACCCCACCCCCACACGTGACGTCACAGTCTCCCCATGGGGACCATGGGGTTAGAATACCATCTTCTGTGAAAAGCGCAAGAGTTGGAGATGTAACTTTGAAGAACACTTTTACAACTTAAACACGATGTGAAACTTGACACTGAAGGTCTTTAGGGTATTACCCTGGTAAAGCGGTCTTGGAGAAATTCAATAAAAGCAATCAAATCATTCATTAAAGGCGATGAGTTGACTTCGGAATAGGCCGACAACATATTCATACTCATACATAATTGAAATTTGTTGTAGGCCTGTACCATAACCATTGTCCAAAAAAAATCGTTATAGTTAAAATATTCCTGCAACTTAATTATAGTCCAAAAATAATCTTTGTTGGGCTATAACATGCCCATAGACATAGGCGAACAAAGTAAGCTACAGTCCTAAACATTCTTAAAGTCGAACAAACTGGACCTTAAATTGTAAATTTTGAAAACTATCTTTGAAAACTATTTTTTTCATAAAAATATTAAGCATTATTATTAAGCAAAAATTGTAGATTCTTTAAAAAAAAGAATCAAAATCTATTACTATGATCTATTATTATCTTGGAGCATGAAATTCTTCAAATTTTTTTTTTTAAATTAAAAAAATATATGTTTAAATAGAAGTAGTCTATAAAAAAGAACTCGACTGCGTGCTCGAAAATCTCCATGAAGGAACAGCTATTATTAAACTGTAGCCCCTGTTTCTTTGAAATCTTTGCTAAAAATATCTTGGTAAACTTTAAAACATGACATTTTTTTAAACATTATTTATTTCATTAGGGCCGTACACAATTTCATTTCTTTAAAATAAATCTTTCGCCTTTTTTTGTTTGTGGGTCCTTATACCGTACTGTAAGCACAATTTACCTGGACACTCAGGCTCGGTACAGTTTTGGGTTTCAAACAACTGTCCGGTACAGTTTCGTCCTCCGTAGAATGGGCCGATGCAGCTTCTGTGGCGTTTCTGCTGACCCCTGGCGCACGAAACACTACACAGATCCCAAGCTGACCAGGGGCCCCAAACTCCGTCCACTTAAAATGTTCAAATTATTAAGCATGAAGTTGTTGTTGTTTTTGATGGGGTTTATTGGACGTTCCGACTTAGACATATTTATAAATAGAACATAGAATGTGTGAGTCAGAAATAACGTAAATTTTTTTTTTAAAAAAGTGGCAAAAAAAAAAAAAAAAAGGCCTTTTTATTAAACGACTGTATAGTTCTAGTATATTTGATTAAAGTCTTTTTTTTTTTTACATTTATAAAGGGAAACGAGATTAAATTAAAAATCCATAGGTATTGTATAACTATAATGTAAAACATCATTAATAGCACACCACGTTAATGGCCCAAGACCATTAAAAGAGCAGAACACCATCAAAACACAACACACTGCCAGTGCCAGGGAACCCAAGGATGACGCGACGAGGTTAACGACGTACACGTTGAGGACCACAAGGGTCATTTATGACACAACACCACCAACGACACGTGCTGACGACATCGGGGGGTCGGGAGGGGGCAGTGACGTCACTTGTGGTTTTATTTTTAGGCAACATTAATGACGATATTCAACCAGGATACGAGCACAACATCCACATTCAATACTTAGTTTTTATATCTAAATTTAAAAAAAAAATGCCATCGTATGAGCACTTTCAGTGAATATTTATCAGTCCTGCTGTTGGAATGTTTGAATTAGATCTTGTGATCACGATTGTGTTCTTTGTGATACTATTTAAAATATTGGTCTATGCTTGGCACCTAGTTTTTCTTTGTGCCGACAACAGTCAAGCTGGTAGACGATTCCGTGACAGTGACTACACATTATTTCAAATTTTCATTGGAAAATTGTTATATTTAATTTTCATGATCAAATATTTATTCCCAGTAATCGGAAAATCCCTGTGCACCCCCCCCCCCCCAAACCGCTTTTCCTAACTCCCCCCAAAAAAAATAAAAATTTTCAAATTTTCATTGGAAAATTTTTATATTTAATTTTCATGATCAAATATTTATTCCCAGTAATCGGAAAATCCCTGTGCCCCCCCCCCCCCCCAAACCGCTTTTCCTAACTACCACCAAAAAAAATATAAAATTTTCGAGATTACAAAAGTCACCATAACTCATTTCGTGTGCGTGTCTTCATTTTTTTTTTCTAAGTTGAACTAAGTTGAACTAAATTTAAGAAAGAAACATCAGCAAACGTTGAAACTAAGCTCTATGATGTCGAAATAAAACCACGATGCCCATTCCCACATCGCCTGACATTTTTTAGGCGCCCTTAACCAAATTTTCAGAAAGAAAAGATACAAAAAACTTGTTTAACTTGTTTGAACACAGATCTATGCAATTTAAATCATAGATTCAAGTTTAAATAAATTATGACAAACCCCTCCACTCTAATTTTAGTCGCCATGAACGGAATTTTAAGAAGAGAAAAAAAAAAGCTACTTTTAAAAAACTTGTTTAAACAAAGCTTTATTAAATTTAATTCACAGATCGATGTCCAATTAAAAAATGAATAAATATATGAATGTAACCTTTCATTTTAGTCACACGCCCTTGAACAAGTGTTAAGAAGAATCTAGCTACCAAAGTTTACGGCCGCTCCATGATCGGGTTGTGAGAGGTGAGTAACGTTACAACCCCACAGGGAAGGAATTTCTAAAAAGAGAACGTTCTAAGTTGGTGTTTCAGTCGTAACTTGTAGCAGCTAGTCTATGTGCTCATCAAATCACGTTTTGTTTTGTTAAATCGGTTGGCTTGATATTTGAATAGTCAGACAGCCAGCCAGACATCCAGTCAGACAGCCAATCATTCAGTCAGACAGCCAGTCAGACAGACAGTCAGACAGCCAGTCAGACAGCCAGTCAGACAGCCAGTCAGACAGCCAGTCAGACAGCCAGTCAGACAGCCAGTCAGACAGCCAGTCAGACAGCCAGTCATTCAGTCAGACAGTTAGCCATGGAGCCAGTCAGACAGTCAATCAGCCAGTCAGACAGCCATTCAGACAGTGAGACAGTCAGCCAGGGAGCCAGTCAGACCGTCAGTCAGCCAGTCAGGCATCAGACAGACAGACAGACAGAAAGCCAGTAAGACAGACAGTCAGACAGCCAGTCAGACAGCAAGTCAGACAGCCAGTCAGACAGCCAGTCATTCAGTCAGACAGTTAGCCATGGAGCCAGTCAGACGGTCAATCAGCCAGTCAGACAGCCATTCAGACAGTGAGACAGTCAGCCATGGAGCCAGTCAGACGGTCAGTCAGCCAGTCAGGCAGCTAGTCAGACAGCCAATCATTCAGTCAGTCAGCCAGTCAGACAGCCAGTCACTCAAGCAGGCAGCCAGTCAGTCAGCCCGTCAGCCAAAAAACTTTTATTTATAAAGTAATGAAGGGAAAAAAAATCTAAAAAATTAATAAATAAATAAAAGAAACCCAAGGCCATGCAGGGTCTCTGAGCTGTGCATTATGGCAAGGAAACAAATGAAGTTGTGGATCAGAGCAATGATCAGATGAGTGTGAACTGGATCACATGCAGGTGCCATGGGTGTGGGAAGGAAATACAAGAAACATCTAAGTAAGAACACCCTTGCTTTGTTTTGTTTTTATTCTTACAATTTCAAAGCCGTCTTCACAACGTAAGATCGATTTTTATATAGGAACTTGAGTGTTCAAGTAGTCTTCACAAAGAGCAATGGGGAACAGCGTTTTCGGAAGTCGCGATATAATCGCCAATGTTTTACATGACTTGAGCGCTGATATGACATGCGTTTCAACGAATTTTTTACATGTTCTTTCTTTTAGGAGTAAACAAAATTAAATAGTTACTACTTACCTTATCTTGATTAGCCCGGCCCTTTTCTTGTGTGAAGCCGTCCACTATTAATGAATACTTCCATACTAAACAAACACACAGAAAAATGGTTGGGTGAACGTCGAACCGAATCAAAACTCTCATGAAATAGCTGGCTTATGTTTTGTTGCTTTTTTTTTGTTGTTTTTTTTTTGCTTTTTTTGTTTTTGTTTTTTTTTGTTGTTTTTATTACTCCTAGATCATACATGACAGTGGTGGTCTTTCCATAAGTCTTACGTTTAAGTATGTATCCTCGGTAGCGTTTCTATAGGACTGTGTGTGTGTGTTCGATTTGTTAAGAATGAGGTCGGGTTGAAGCAGGAACCGTTTTGACTAGAGGATCTGATGACGAGCACATCCGGGTGAACTCATCTCAATCCAATGATCTATCGAACAAAGGACGAGCCCATCCGGGTGAACTCATCTCAATCCAATGATCTATCTAACAAGGACGAGCCCATCCGGGTGAACTCATCTCAATTCAATGATCTGACAAGGACGAGCGCGACACGACGTCATTGCCTATATAAATATTCTATGTACCTGTACGTCAGCAGACCGGAAGAGATCTGCCTGTGACGTCATTAGATCGCATACCCGAACGATTAACGCATTGAAAAAGCACACGTGTGAGGGCGTGACCAATCAAATAGATAGTAGGACACAAAACTAAATAAGCACCACTATTAAAGAAGCAGTAAATTATAAAAGAGTTCCAAGAAATGCTCCCCGAAATGCAGCTAACCCACAATGTCACCATGGTTACATTGACTTAGATTTGATCTACCGTAAAGGGTTTTTTTAAAAATAAAAAGTCTGCCAAGCATTCTGACTACCTATACAACCCATCCTTTTTACTTACTTCTTAATTAAATGAAATTGATTGTTGCTTGGATTAAGAAATTACTAATTTATTTTTAAAAATTTCATGAAAAATTCACTTTAAAAAACATAAATAATAGGTACAATTTGAAATTCTATCTTAAAATTTAATTATACCTTCAATGGGATCTTTTACATAGTTTAAATTAAATAAATCCAGTTAAAAGGCTAGTGATAGTTCAAATAAGATGCCTAAAATAAATATAATTCCTAATGTAGCACATGCATGTGACAGCTGGAGGCAACCCCAACAAAAGCAGGCCGGTGATGTTACCTGCACAGCTTTGGGTGTTGCATCGCTTGGCGTCCACGGTGGGTCCTGTGCAGTTCACGCCGCCGTGGTAAGGGCCGTCGCATGCCCTGGTTCTGGCCTGAGTCCCGTTGCCGCAGCTCAGCGAGCATTGGCCCCATGCCGTCCACGCCTGCCACACACCGTCAACTAAGAGAGTGAGGAGCTCATGCGGGTATTATGAAAGACTTGACAGGTTTCGAACCCTTTACTTCTGGAGTTGTTGTGCCCATTATCCCCTTAAATCATCGCACCCCGCACATTTTAATTCTTCAAATAATTGCCGCCACACATTTGTATATTTTAAATCATACACGTAAACACTCTCATACACACACTCTCACACATACTCATTCACACAATCACACACAGACAGACACAATAACTCTTTTTTTTTTTTTACATAAACAAGACTAAGTGTCTAAGGCATGGGTCATGCTACCATATGTAAATGAAGAAAACATTTCCTTTGCTGTGGAAGAACTCTACAAAGAAATTAATAATCGTTTGCAAATAAATCTGAAAAACAAAATAATTTAGAAAAACATTTTAAAGGCTAAAAACCGATCTAGCAAAGAGCACTTCTAGGAACCGTAACTCCCAACAATACCTGGACAGGGATTAACGCTGCACGAACTTTCTTCAGAGTTGTTTCCCGTGCAGTTTTTGCCGCCATATTTGCCCAGATAGCAATCGCGTTTCCGGTTTCTGACGCCACCGCCACACGACACGGTGCACGGCGCCCAGCCCTGCCAGTCCATCCACTGACCGTCCACTGCAGACAACATTCGAATTAGCAAACACGTGACATGTTTTATGGAAGAGAAAAAAAAAAAATCCAACCAGGCATCGGCCTAGACGGTCACATGTAACACTTTGAAACAAACAAAAAAAAAAAACAATTTAAAAAATTGGTGTACGCTGTGAAATTGTGGTGTGCATGGGAGACACAGTTATTATGTATATGGGAGACACATATGTTATGTGCATGGGAGACGCATATACAGTGTGCATAGGAGGCACATTTATAGTGTGCGTGGGAGAGACATTTATTAGAAGGACACGATAGAATGAAAAAGGGGAGACTTTGAATACATTTCCATCATTCATTAATATTAATATATAATGTTGTTTGAATAACACAATATAAAATGAATAAATATGATAAAAATGGAAATTTTTCAAACAGCTCTAAGTGCCAGCAGGTGAAGCCATCAGTAGGTGACCCTATGGTAGTTGATGATGTTCTTTTCTTTTAATAGTCCTCTTGTTTATCCACACGCTAATGTAATACACGTTACTCCATTAGCGACTCCAGTGGAGCATTTACCATCAAGGATCTCTCTCAGCTTATCTGTTTTTGTATGTCTCTCATCCAAGCACAGACTCTTTAGTAATAGTGTTATCTTAAAATAGCTCCATCTGATGAGTGGAGCTAAATTAAGTGTTCAACATCAAGGCAACGGCTTTTTAGTGGAATGGCATCGAGCTGTTTATAAGTATATAGCGAAATGAAATACATTGACCATGCTCAACATGTGTGTAAGGATTATATAAGGGAATGTACACCAGATATAAGAGAATGTACACCAGATATCAGAGAATTTACACCAGATATAAGAGTATGTGCACCAGATATAAGAGACTGTACACCAGATATAAGAGAATGTACACTAGATTATAGAGAATGAACACCAAAAAGCACAAGACAAGAGCATAAAAGCCACAGGAATACCCCGGTGACAGTAACGTACATTTAAACATGCTATTCGTCACATACAATGTTGAGAAAAGATTCTTTTTTGGTCTGGCATGTTTGAACTGCTCTTTTTTTGTTTCCTAAACACTGCCTAAGAGAGTAATGGCCTCAAACAAGGGTGGTTCAATAGCCTAATGATGATATACACCAAAAGGACATCGACCAGTGCCTGCTACAGAACTATTTCATTGGCAGCCGGAGGTAGACTATAGTAGGTTTATTTTCATCCAAAAGGGTAAGATGTGCGCCTCGTAGAAAATTCCAGCCACCTTATTTCGGACACCACATAATAAATGCTTGATTTATTGCACACAAAGGGGTAAAAGTATTAACTTCTTTAAAAAAAAATTCGGGAAAATAATTTTTTTAAATTAATTAATACGAAACAGCCGAATGTTAAAAAATTGAGCGAGGCAGATTTTTATTTAAAAATTATGAATGATGACTGCACCACCTTATTGATAGTATTGGTAAAATTTTAACTGACCCATCTTGATGCATTAGTGGTAAAATACTAGCTACATGACTTCAACTATGTGTTTTATTTCACTGTTGTCCTTTAAATGTAAATTGAGCTAGTCATCGCCCCTTCTAGTAACCGCCCCTTCTAGTAACCGCCCCTTCTAGTAACCGCCCCTTCTAGTAACCGCCCTTTCTAGTAACCGCCCGTTCTAGTAACCGCCCCTTCTAGTAACCGCTGTAAAATTTTAACTGACCCATCTAGATGCATTAGTGGTAAAATACTAGCTACATGACTTCAACTATGTGTTTTATTTCACTGTTGTCCTGTAAATGTAAATTGAGCTAGTCATCGCCCCTTCTAGTAACCGCCCCTTCTAGTAACCGCCCCTTCTAGTAACCGCCCCTTCTAGTAACCGCCCTTTCTAGTAACCGCCCCTTCTAGTAACCGCCCCTTCTAGTAACCGCCCATTCTAGTAACCGCCCCTTCTAGTAACCGCACCTACTAGTAACCACCCCTGCTGGTCTAGCAAGAAGGGGAAAAAAAAAGATCTGTTAAGATATGGAAATGTAAGGAAAGGTGATAAAGCCAATGAGACAGCCAATAAGACGGCCACCTTACCTGGACAGTTGCTCGGGTGACATATCAGAGTTTCATTGTTGACGCCGGCACACAGCAGCCCACCATAATAAGGTCCCGAGCAGGTTCGGTTCCGCCACTGAAGCCCGTCGCCGCACGTGACCGTGCACCCTGACCAATCAGACCAGAGGTTCCAGGCGCCGTCAACTAGAAAGGTACAGCGGAGAATGGCGTCACGGACGATTCGTTGCAGGTGCACTTACAGGACATGATGTAACGATACAGCTCTAGATGACAGCGGATAACTGTCCCTTACGGGAAGCAGCCAAGGGACGATAAATAAGGTCTATACCGAACTGACGACTCTTGGGTCAATTAACGTATCACTAACTACAATATCAAGCTTTTTTGTTTGTTTGTTTGTTGTTGTTTTTTTCGTTTTTTTTAAAAAAGTACAATCTATATTTAGATGAAATCAATCCAGCGCGTTCCGTTATGCACTTGAATTCGTTGCATACACATACAATTAAGATATGCGCACCAAACAGCTCAATATGTTAAATCCCTATTAATAAAAAAAGATTTAGAGAGGAAAATAAAAAAAATCAAATTTCAAACTGCGTACAATACTTCCATATTTCCTTTACAGATTTACTATTGAGATCTTTAAGACATTGAAAAAGATGTCATTTATGTCATATACATTTTGCAAATTTCACGCAAGATCAGCCTAAGGGGCGGGTGCAGAGAACTAGCATATAAACATTGGTTTTCAAAACCTTAATACTCATCAAATAAGTACTGCAATGTGTAAGGTACACCAAGAACTTACGACACCAAAAACTTATGACATCAAGTGCATATGACATCAAGTACATATGAGATCAATAAATTATGACGTCGAGAACTTATGACATCATTCACTTATGACATCCAGAACTTATGACAACAAGAATATATGATATCAAAAGCTGACAACATACAAGTTTCAAAAAGTAAAAATAATAATATGAACAAAAACCATCAATAGAAAAATAATTTTAAGAGGTTTCAGTTTTGTGTGTGTGGGGGGGGGGGGGGGGGGGTTCGGGGGGGGTTTGGGGGGGGGGGGGGGGGGGGGGAGTTCGCGTGGGGTTTGAGCTTTCTTCTCCCCATGAAGGCTGAGAAAGATAAAACATGACATCTACATCTCATTATTATTCTTGTCATCAATCAATATTTGATTCCGGTTCGACCTCCTCTATTATACATATTTAATATTATTGGGTCTGTTTTAAATAGCCATGGAAACTTACTTGGGCAATCGAGTTTAGAAACAAGAAACATGATTTTTGGATAAAATCGGAACTTTAAAAAAAAAGCAGGGTTCATCCAAGCATGGGCGCTCGCAGAAAACTTTCTAGGGGGGAGGGGGCAAAAAATCGATTAACTTTCCAGGGGGGGGGGCAAAAGTTTTTTAGTAATGTTTTAATATAGTTTTAATTTACTGTAGCGTATTTGTATGGTGAACGAACGGACAGGACATCAGCTTAGTTACTTTTTCTTTAGTTTCTCTTTACTTTAATAATTTTTTGTCTATTTTTGTCTAAATTTTTTTATCCAATCAATCCAGGGGGGGGGGGCAAGTGCCCCACCTTGCCACTACCTGCGGGCGCCCATGCATCCAAGGACAAGTTACTCAGTTTAACACAAATTCTAACATAGAAGAGAATCGCTACATTTGATTCAGACATGATAATTTATGTCTTATTTGGCTGATATAGAGACCGACCGAAAGTGATTTTCTGATTTCGGCCGAAACCGAAACCAGTCGGAAAGTTAAAAGAGAATTTCGGCCGAAACCGAAAGTAAACCGAAACTTAACTTTTCAGTTTTGACCGAAACTGAAATTAAGCCGAAAGTTAACTTTTCAGTTTCGGCCGAAACCGAGACTAGGCCGAAAGTGATCAAATGGCAACTTTCGGCGCCGAAACCGATGCCGAAGCCTACATTCGGTCGGTCTCTTCTCTTGTACTAAATGACCGAAAAACATATCAAGTAAACAACGATCACGCACTGGGACAACTCTGTGTGTTGCACGCACGAGTCGCCTGCCCTGATCCCGGGCACTCGGCGCCACCGTACAGCGGCTCTTTGCACTCCCGCCCTCTCGTCTGGACTCCTCCACCGCAAGACACCGTGCACGAACTCCAGGATACCCACAACGTCCAGTAGCCGTCAACTGTAGCCAGGGTCAGCGCAAGGAAATGTTGGAACATTCACAAAATACATGAACACAGATTAGAAATATAAACCATATAAAGAATATCAATAAAATATATACCATATAAAG